CAAGTGTTAACTTGGAAAGCTGTAAGCCCGTAGGGCATTTTGTTATGATGTTAACATGTAATACTTATGTAATGGAACTCTAAGGAATAAAGGAATGTGGTTAGTTTATATGTAAATGCATGTCTTATCAGATGGGTTTAATGTTGTTATTTTGAGGGCGTTACAGACACCCTCTCATCTTCATCATATTCATTGCCAATAATTGCTATCCTTCCTGTTGATTTGACAATGTGTTACATGTAGATGGAAATTACAGAGGTCAAGAAAAAAGAAAAAGTAATGCTAAAAACACTAACTAGTGTACCAACAAACATATCAAGTAAGACACAAGACATACATGTGCGATCCACCACTTGACCTAGGACTCACTTAACATTGTGTCTAGTTGGTACATTAGTTATGTTTGTTGGTACATTAGTTAGTGTTTTTAACATTATTGGAGGGGGAAAAAAAAGGATACTGCATTCATTACAAAACAGAATCAAATAACCACCACATAGAAATGCACATATACAGAAAACAAAATAAGACAGCAAGTGTGGAAATCCGAAAAAGTAGAAACCTCTCACCCTCCCTAGGAAATCGAAACTAACCAATCTGATACCAAATGGCTGACACCATAGCATGATAATCCATGCATGCATTGCATGAATGGTCACATGAATTCTCTAGAAACTTATCCCTGATAAGAATTAATTAAATCACTGTAGAATTTCCTTTCTGAGAAGAATTTTGAATTCATACCAGTTTGTTAAGAGCAATTATATTCATGCTAATCATGGTGGCTATGTTCCCATTTACCCATTAGACCAGAGTTAACGTTTTCGTCATGTTCTAAAGCACAGATGTGCTGAATATGCTCTGAAAAGTCTCATGGATTTGGAATTAAATAGTTACTTGGAATATCATGCAAAAATACAAACCAAAGTGACAGTGGCCAACAAGTTTTTTTTTTTTCAAAAAATAGTATAGCATACTTTTCACTTCTCTTTCTTTCTTCTTTTTCTTGAGAACCTTCCCAGATGATCCAAGGCGAAGATATGACATAATTTTAGCAATTCGATCTTGCACAGAACCATCAACACTGACAGTAACCATTTCCTGTAATATACGTAAAGATGAAAATTAAATAACTGGAATAACACCTAAGAAAATTTGCAATAAAGAGGAAATAAAACATGTGGTCATGATACATAGATCAAATAACTAGTAGCTGCATGTTAATCCTTAATTCCTTAATTCTTAATATGTATCAATACACAAACAAGAAGGCAAAACATGTGGTGAAAAACACTCTGAAAGCCAGAAATCTGCATAAAAATTCAGTTGTCATACAATTGAATGATTTGAGCATGATTGATTTGCTTAAGCGAACCATGAATAAGAAATTGAAGGAGAATTCAACTCAGAAAGGAGTGGAAATTTCTAACAGAACCTTGGCATGTCAAATTGTTGCATTGCATAATGAAATTCTTTCAAATTAACAGAGAAATCAGAGAGAAAGACAAGCTGCTCCAAAATGCCAAAATAATCCGGACTGGCTGGGAAATATAGAAATTGCCCCTACTCAGAAGATATATGGAAATTCATTTTAAGAAGAAATGCAGCCTTTAGGGAGCCTCAGGAATAGAACAGGGAATTGCATTAAATAATCCAAAATAATCAGAGGGAAAAAGTTAATGTCAACACTATACATACTATCTCTTAGTGTAGCTTTATACCACATCTGGAGTGGAAGGAATCTCCAGAGCTTCAATCTCCACAGGACACCTTCCTCAACACTAATTCAAAAGACAACTGATGATATTAGAACTGTGATGCAGCTTTCCCTTCTTTTCCCATCCTACCAATTGTAAAAGGAGTCACAGACTAAGAAAGGAAGACTGTATAGGCATAGTAAATATGGGGATTCACCTACAACTCTACTATTCAATGTATATATTCTCTTTTGAGAGATATGATGCTATGAAGCATGGGTACTACAATTATGTCGTACGGTATCCGGTGCTGGTCTGCACGCATAGCAGGTACCCAAAACAAATATCCAGTACTGGAATAAATATATTGCGTCTACTTTTTAAAAACTTCAAAAAACCATTGTTGTCAAATTGCGAATCGAAAAATAATATTTAAAAGGGAACCACTTAATATTAATCCTTAATTCCTATGTAAATTTTGTAATCAAAATTTCCTAAGAAAGAAGGTGTTGCAAGCTGATTACCATGAGACATAACTTGCTCACAGCTGAGGCAGCAGCCTCTTGTAATTCTGGATCCATTGCTTCATAGTTAGAACCAACATATTACAAAAAGCATTGCAACAATAACATTACGACAATCCTATGAAATCTGGAATCAACACATTGTGGGCCATAAATGCTTCATAGTTTTTTTAAATAAAATATTACTTTGTCCCAAGTGTTCCCTTATGAGAAAAAACCAAACAGAAAAAACCAAAATACGTTTAATCATGTTCTTCTATCGTGTTTACAATGACTGGTTGAGCATGATAATAACAATAATCTTCTATGGTCCATTTTGAACATGATAATAACAAGAAACAATTCATCAAAGTGACTGTCCCCTATGGTTTAATCACGTTCAAAATGACTATTTGGCTAACTGTTTCTAGGAAGATTAAATAACTTAGAACCATTCTAATGCGCATTGTAGCAGAAGAGTCTAGATCCATTTCACCAAATCCTTCTAAAGTTCTAATAAAATGTGCTATCTCAGGAAGTACAGAGTTTTTAAGAAACTGATAAAAGTAGAGATAAAAGAATTGCCAGAACTGCCCAACCAATTATTCTGAAAGACCTTGAAATATGACATACTCAAGACAAAACTACGAATTAACAATGATAAATTATAATGAGAAAGGTAATAAACAGAGACATACTGGACACTCAAGACAATAAAACTTGTGAGAAAAAGTAAAAGAACAAAAAAGAGACTCAAATTAGAAGAAGAAAAAAAGAAATTACCCCATCCATTGTCAGACAAGTAGTATTAACACCTGAATGGAGACCTATCATATATGGTGTAGGAGCATCAATATAGTTTACTCCACTGAAAAACATTAATGGAATGTAAACGTGCTTCAGCACAACAAAAGGATAAAGATTAGATGACAATCCTTTCAAAGAATCAAAAAATGCATCAGTACTAGGTAAGCACATCTAGTATTAACCAAAATTTCTTAGCAGCACTTTCTAGCTGTAATTAATAATCGATGTTGACGTCATATTACAAATATGAGCTGTAATTAAGAATCAATTTTCAAACTATTGTCAACAAATCCATAAGACAGTTCAACTAACCTTATGATGATGGATTGATGCACTTCATCTGCATGATCCATGATAAGAGTAGAGTCAGCAAAACAAATTCTTTAGTAGCAAAGTATAAATAGATGAATATGAGCCCTGTTTTTTTCTTCAAAATCCCTGCAAGTACTATTTAACTGACCTCTCATCATTTCGTTATAGGCAATATCTGCTATAGCAAAAACATGAGGATTGTCAAAAAGCTTCTCCTTGTAAGCTGTGATAAAATCATTTCCAAAACAATGGACATCTTTGAAGGGATTGATTGCTATTAAAATAGGTCCGGCTAAATAGCACAAATAATACTTATCTTGTGGTTAATTGAGAAAAATATTAAATAAATAACTATCATGCTAGTTTAAGATAATTTACAGAATGTACGTACAAGGTTCAAATAGGAAACCACAAACCTGTTCATGTAATCCCATAAGCCATCAGATGCTAATAGTATAAATTTTACAAAAGGTCATCTCATAATTGTATGCTTGATACCTACAACACTGTGGCACAAATGTAGAAACAAATACCAAAACAATAAGAGCAAAACCTTGCATGTCAATTTAAATGTGAAGAAGCCCATTAAACTGAACAAAATATGTTAAGTTGAAAGTTATTACAAAACAGATCGGCACAAAAGATGCAATTCAAACTAATTATACATACAAGTACTATGAAAGACCAATGCCTTTCAGGTTTAATTTTTCCCAGGAGTGTTTATTTCCTGAGAAATTGTTAGGGAATTGGTTGCCAACAGGGGAGAATGGTTTCTTAGGGATTGCTTGACAAAAAACTCATAGTTGCAAGGTTTGTAGAAAAGGCTTGCCAACCAAGTCTCATTCCAGATCTGGCTAAACAGCACAAATAATAAAGAACAATGAAATTGAAGACTAACCAATCGAGGCTACATACAGTACCAAAATGAGAACTTCGAGTAATTATGAAAGCTTAAAATACGTGCCTTCAACCTAGCTGCAACATTACCAGTGATCTATCAGTTTCGTGGCCCGGGGATGGACTAAAAAGAAAAGACCTCAATTGATAATGGGTTATGGTTCAAAACATGGGATAAAGGGATTAGAGATTTTTCTATTGCTTGGCAAAAAATAAACTATATATTTATATATAATAAACTATGGTTCAAAATATATTTTCTGGTTAGTAAATTTGAACTATATAATAAACTATGGTTCACATATGATATGTCTTCCTTCTTTTGCATGTGCCTAACGAAGAACATCAGAGATTTGTCAAGCATGTTCATTTGTAAAGGGCATAGCATGTGTCCTTGTCATTAGAATGGAACTCAAAGATCCAAATTCTATCCTAATTTGTATGTGAAATGAATTTCTAGATAAATGCAAATTTATGTTTAATATATATGGAAATGAAAGCTTAATCAATAATGATAATAAATTATGAGCACAAGGAGATCTGAATTATAAGTGACAAAATCTCAAATAACAAGTAAAGAATAATTAGAAATCAAAAGGACACTGATGGATGAAAAGGGATCAACTACTTGCATAACCCTACAAATTGAACAGAGCATTCTGAAAAATACAGATTGGCCAACTCAATTGATTCAACTTCCAAGGAAGCAATCAAGATTTTTGAAGTGCTCCTAAAACATCAACATTAAATAGGTTACCCTATCATATATAATTAAAAAAAAAAAAATTCTGAGAAGGACTTACAATTCCAATAAGGTTCTCAAGGCAGAGCACAACAGAACCTTTAGTTGCAGCAGAGCAGACTGCTAATTTTTTACCCTATAACCATCAGCCGAAAGGCAAATATGATAACAGAGGGAAGCATAGACAAGTAGGGTTCTTAATGTATGAAAAAGGACATGGAATTTGACAACTTTGGAAAGAATAAGTAGTTTTATAACCTAATTAAATGTGGATAACAGATGCAAATTCAACAAAAAACTTAAGAACCGTGACAAAGTGATAATTGCATTTATAAGGTAAAATGTTCATCTTACAGCATCCTTGGCCTCATCCATCAATCTCAATACTCCAGGTCTGGGCTCCACCTGCTCATTAACTAAAATCCATTTTTTTCACAGTCACTCATCCAGAATAATCACCCACATAGATGAACTAACAAATGAACTAACAAGTAATCATAAACGAAGAACACAAAAATTTGTACTTACAGTCCCAGATCTGATAATTTCTTTGTATCTTTCAGTCTTCCAATCCTACAGATAGATAACCCTAAAACAATCAATACAACCAACTAATTAATGATACAAATTATAAATCTTTTCAATTCCACGAAATTAGCAAAAAAATCGTGCACTAGTATAGAAACTCAAAAGGTATGGAACCTTTTCCTACAATCTGCTAGGTTGCTTAAAAAAATACAATGGGGGAAAAACCATATGAACGATTTGCATCGTAAATGTCCCTTGATTTGCCCTCTAGAAACAAAAACTCAACTAAAGTTTAGCAAAGAAGTGTAGACGCGCCCTCGGGCCTCACTACAGTTCGGACTCAATTGTCATGGTCCTGTATCTAATCTCGCGGAGTGCAATGCAAGACCGATGAATCATCAAAGAGTCCAAATCTGGTAAATCGTTTTTGAAAACAGTTTTTTTTTTAAAGAAGTGACAAACATGGACTGCTTTGCCAGATACAGAGTCGCCACCTAAATATTTTATTTTGGGAAATTTAGGAAACCCTGACTCGTTGCCTAAGGCCACGTGTCCGTCATCACCAAAGTTGCCTCGGCTCGGGAACTTGGGTACGATTGGAGAAGGTCACTTCGTGAGCACCCCCGCTCGCCCAATCAAAGATCGGCCTCTGCTAACCATGATATCTAGTTTTGAAAACATTATGCGTTCTTATTCCGGTTATTAGCCTAGATTTACTATGTGATGCGCACAGCATACAAGTATAGACTAGGTCACCTGAATTGGAATACTAATCATGATGTGATTTTTATTTATATTATATGCTCTTGTTCTAGTTATTAGGCTAATTTTACTAAGTGATGCACACAAGTATAGACCGATTCACAAAATTTGGAACACATTGATTTCATGTTTATTTTGAAAAAGTGTTTTGAATATGTGTCACTTGAAAAAAAGACAAGCTCGTATTTACATTAGTCAAATTATTCTAACTTAAGTAAAAAGGCCTTCATCCACTGGCATTCAAACAAGTATATCACTTAAGCACTTAGCCTAATGGAAAACATGCTGGATATGGCTACATAAACATGCATGCAAAATGCTAAAGCAATAAATGCTCACCTAGTACTTCAAGGCACGCCAAAAGAAATAAAATGGTTAGAAAAAATGCATGATCCTAATGATGCAAAATGACTAACACATATGAAATGCAACTAATAGGCTCGACTACTTAGCATAGAAAATGGATCAATTAAATAGCATTCGATCTAAACACGTATTCAAAGAACGTATAAGCAATAACAATGCAGTTGGAAAGATGAACCGAGCATTGGTGCATGCAATACAAATGGATGCAAACACGAAGTATGCTAAAACAAAACATGATGTCCCTAATCTAACCATCATAAGCTAGTAAATAAAAAGGAGAAAGATGTGGGGTTGGAAGACATACATTACACTCACGCACACTTATTACAACATTGCCCTCGCTCGGAGGGTCCAAAAAAATAATACAGTCCGAATGAATAGTACAGTCCGAATAAGTAATACAGTCCGAGTAAATATAAAATCCTAATTAATTAACAAATTAATCTGGGAAAGCGAGTAAATTAGCATGCAAGCCTATGGGTTGCCTCAGCTCTGTTCCGAATGATGGGAGATGCATGCTTGAGTTGCCCGGCGCGGAAATCCATTACGATGTCCTGGTTTGCCTCTGTTTGCAATTGTTCTCGGAATATTGTGCAAAGCTCCAGAAGGCTACTGATTTCTGATTTATTGCAACAGAGAGCAACAAAGGGGCATGGCAAAGTATTTCACATATGTATGCATGACTACTCTTCAGGGAGTGTAGTCCTCGATCCTTGTGCCACCAATTACGCATACCGATGCATGATGGCCGAGGAATCGAATTGCACGACTCAATATGAAATGAATGCACATGAAAACACAACAAGACCTAAACTCCATCATGGGTAATCCATAGTGTCGGTGACAGGGAATTGAGACACGTTCCGTCACTCGGAGTACGAAATGTCCCTCGTTTCCCGTGCTTGGGCTAACTCCTATGCCAAACACAATGCAAATGAGATGGCATACATAATGCGACTAACACACAACCTAGCATACGCAATGCTATGATATGACAGATACAATGCTTGATGTAACATGGCATACACAAAGCTCTAACAGGCAACTTAGCATACGAAATGCTATGAAACGAAAAGGCATACACAATGCATAATGGACTTACACCAACATGAGTGGACCTCAGCCACACTCACATCAGTAGCCATTAGATGAAAATGAGACAACCGAAATACGTGCACACATGCACGCATACCGAGGACCGAACTTAAGGCATCAAATGCCACTCTACCAAAGCATGGCAAAGAATGAAAGATGGCCTATGAACATTTAATCTCCAGCACTAAAAACATGATGCTAAATAATCCCGAAACATGGAAATATGGCACCCGATGTATGGAATAAGCCTCGAAACTCAAAACTAGGCACATGTATTGAACCACAAGTATACAAAGAAAGCATTATTTGATCATGAAGTCAAAAGACAGAGCCAAGGCAGACCCAAAATATGCATATTTCTAGTTTAGATGATGGCCAAAAAGATGCTAACATGATGGACTAAAATAGTATGCAACATTGGCTAGCAGCATGGTTTACATGGCATGTATATGAAGAAAATGAGAAAACCAGCCAAAAACAGTGAATAAAACATGGCAAAATATGCCTAAATAATCACTGAAATGCAGCCAATGCATGCAAAAATGAGGGGCTTCTTTGGAAGGCCATTCAAGGGGTTGTTAAGCACATACAAGATAGACACTTAGCATGAGCAAACCAACTCTGGAAATGAGTTATGACAGCCCTAAAACGCACAAAATTGGCCCTAAAATCAGTCAAGGAATCATGCGATGAAAGGCCCCCTCAAAAGGCCTTGAATGGAATTGTTCTACACATGCACTATAGACATAAAATATGATCAAAAGGGCCCCGGACAGACCTAAGGCAGACCTTAAAACCCACAGAATTGGACCCAAAAAGTGACTTCAATGCATGCAAAATAGGCCCCCTTTGGGAAGCCAATGATGCTAGTGAAGAAAATGAGGGGTGAGAGGGTCACCCCTCTATGATTTCAAAGCTCAAAACCTCATCAAAGCCACTGAAAATCCCTTGGATTTCAGTGGCTAAGAGGCCAAAAAAAGTCCAATGCTAATGCTCTAATGCATAGCCCTAAATATGAAGGAATGAAGCATGCAAGGAAGGAGATGACTCCAAATAGAAAAGTAACCTCAAGAAAACTTAAAGAGGAGGTCAAAATAAGAAATTTTTTAGTTTATGACAACTCTAAAAAATGTTCACAAGTAGGGCTAAAATATGATGCAAAAATAGCCCTAAAAGAGAGATAGAGGGTAAGGGGAAGTAGATGACCTCAAATAGCAAAGTGTCCTTAAAAAAAGTTGAAGAGGGGCTCAAAATAAGAACTTTTTCAGTTTATGTCGAAGCCCAGAAATACTTTCAAGTAGGGCTAATCAATCATGCAAAAAAAAAATGCAAGTTTAAGGGAAATAGACACTTACCCTTGAAGAACAGCAAAGCTGGAGCTTTTGGACCAAGTTAGTGAACCTTCAAGCTCTAGAAATCAGATTCAAGGGGCTGGAATGGATGGTGGAGGTGGTAGGCTAGGAGTTGTAGTGTAAATGGCCAAGAATATTAGGGTTTTGGAGCTTGGAAGAGAGAGATATGGAGGGAGAGGTGTGTAAGCCTTGGCTGGTTTTTCTAACCAGCCCAAAGGAGGGAGAAGACCTCCTATATAGACAAAGAGGTCTAAAGCTTCTCTTGGAAGCTAAAAACAACTTTGAAGATCCTCCATACACGTGTATGGAGGATGCTGCAAATGGCTCCCAGCTGGCACAGCTGGAACACACTCAGAGAGACAAAATAGAGGGTAGCTAGCCGACCAGTTCAAGTGGCCAGCCGACCACTTGCCTTGGTCGGACGACCAGGGTTCAAAAGGTTAAAGGTCTAAAGCTGGTTAGCCATGAAGCCCTTGAATTTAGCTTTCCAATGCCGCAAACCTTGCATTAAAATTCCTCCTGTGCAAAAAGTTATGCCGGTTTTAGTAAAGTCGCGCAGATTCGGTCCAACCGGACTTCAACCAACCACATCTCCCCCACCTGGACTTGGTTTTAGGAGATTCTTGAGTCTGAAATGAAGCCCCAGAAGTCTCCTTTCCAATGGTAATGGTCTCACATCTAAATTCCTTTTTTGAAAGGAGTTATGCCTGTTTCGGTGAAGCCGCGCAGTTTTTGGTCCTCCCGGATTCATGTTGAACCACTTTGGACCACCTGATTTTTCTAGTCTTCCATCTGATTTTCTGGTCATCCATGTGGCCACATTGAAGCCCCATAAGTTATCTTTCCAATGGCGCCAACCTTGCATCAAAATTCCTCATGTGCACAGAGTTATGCCCGTTTCGGTGAAGTCGCGCAGTTTCAGTCCTACCTGGATTCATGCCGAACTTCTCCCAAACTAGTTTTCCTCTCTTTTCTCCTCTTTTCTTCGACTCCAAACCCCTAGACAAGGTGTTTTGAAAGATTTTTCAAAGATTTCATCCCTCTTTCATTCATTTCCACTTTGTCCTTGCTCGGTTTACCGAAAAGCGCAACATTTGACAAAATGCGAGCCTCGGAACATCGTAAAAACTTTATTTCAAAAACGTTTTGAAAGAGAGGGTTTTAAGGTCTAAAATCTTTTGATCAAGATTGTTTTGGTCCAAAAAGGGGTATGAAGTTGAGATTTGACTCTCCTCTTGCCGAAGAAATCGACCCTTTGCACTGCACAACTTCCAAAACCATCAGTCGCGTCCAAGTCTTAAGGTCGGTCAAAAATAGGGTGTCTACAGTTGCCCCTCTTTGACAGAACTCGGAAGTCATAACAATGACAGGAGTGAATGTCAAAGCCCAGAGACGACCTATTTTTGACGAGGCCGAAGACTTAGACAAACAGGCAATATAATCAAAGAGATGTGCCCGCAGTCAGGGGCAAAATGCAATTGACAATGCAAGAAGCTGAACATAACTTATGAT